ATAGGGATCGAAAGTAGTCTACCCATGTTTCCTTCTGAATGTGTTTCGTTTTTATTCATCTCTTTTCTTTGTCCTCTGATCATTCTCCATATTTTTTTTGTGTTCCGTAGAAGTCGTGTTCCATCTGTTTTGAGAATCTTTGCCAGTTTGTTGTGTTCTGTTTTGTAAAAAGTCTTTCTTCTTTTCTTTACATTTTGTCTTCACTTTTGTTTGTGTTGGCGCTGCTCTTTTGGGTGGGAAGTATATCAGGATTATTCCTATTTTATATAATACTAGGCTATGATCGCTACCTACATCTGCTGGGTGGAGGCATCTTACATCAATTATTTTTAATGGATGTATATCTCTGTTGGTTATAACATAATCTATCATAAATCTTTGTCATCGAGTATTATTAAATGTATATTTGTGTTGGTCTTTGTGGTCAATAAATGTGTTGTTTATTACTTCGTTATTCGTGTAGAAGTTGATCATCAGTTCTCCATTTTCGTTTTTAACATTCTTATGTTTTTGTTTAATGCCGGGTATTATTAATTGATTGCCTATTCGAGCGTTAAAATCCTCCAATATTATCATCTTTCCTCTGACTTGATCTACTACTTGTAATTGGTCGTAAAACGCTTCCCTTGTTGTTTGAGGCTTGTTATTTTCTGGGCTGTATACTCCGATAATGTTCAGGCCTTCCTTCTTATCTTTGCTGTTATTATTCTTTCTGATATGTATTGACACTCCGATATTATTTTTGGTACCTTTAGTGTATTAGTAAGGCTACACTTTGTTTGGCCATGTTTTCTTTTGCTACTCCACTATAGATTAGTATATATTCATCTAATTTTTATTTATCATCTCCTTTCTTTTTTGTTTCCTGTAGAGCACAAATGTCCATTTTTCTCTTTCAGCACTTGGGTTATTTCTTTGGATGTTTTTTTTTCGATTAATTTAATTAATATAAAATCGGCAACCCCGTTAAAAGCAATAAGTTTACCATAATGTTTAATGTTCATACTAACAGAGGAATGTTTATACTTTATCTTTACACAATTATTAGCTACTGCAGGTCCTCTAATTGAAAACTTACCTAATTTGTTAATTGACTGTCGAGTGACCCATATGTAATCTTAATTACAATTATTGTGGCGTTCTTCCAGAAAAAATGTAGCAATTGTTTAACCCATTTAGGCCTATAGTTGCGTTAAAGCAACACATTGAATGCATTTTTTTTAGATTCATAATGAATTTTTTTTTATAAATTGCGGATAGTATTGGGTTATGCAAGATTTAACAATTCAGAAAAAAAAATTCCACGCAAAGAAATATAATTTGAATTAGCGTTAAAAATAGCAAAATAACTATAGAAATTATTACAAACGAGGTACATTCTCAAAAGTGCTTTAAAATATTTAGGTATTATTATTTTATCATTCACAAGATATTTTCGTGGCTTAGGGACATAAAGTAATAATATTCTAAGCGTAAAATTGATTTGTTTTTAGAGAATAATGTCATTTCAGGAATTTGAATATAGCGTTGCTTTAAGGCAACTACGGGACAATAAGAATAATTCATAGAAGTGTCTAATTTCTTGTGTAAACCTGACTCGCCTGATAAACACGTGGTGTTTGTTATTTTGTCTTGCGTGTGCTCAATTTATCAGTCTTATCGAATATCAATACGACTGTTATCGGTATTTTTTTGGATACTTTGCCACTGAAGCAATACATGAATACAGGCTGCTAAATTATCCGTTGAAGAACACAAAATCTATTGGAAAAAAGATCGCGGTACTATAGATTGTCGCTACGATCAAACTAATAAAATAAGTGTTGTGCCTTGGAACGATAATTCTGTGGTGACGGTGGCAACCAATTGTGATCCAGTAGAGCCTGTTCTTCCCGTAAAACGATACAATCGCAAGGTAAGAAAAAATATCGGTATCCCACAACCCAACATGATAGCTAAATATAATAAATACATGGGGGGAGTGGACTTACATGACACTTCTTCAAGTGCCACCTCCGCGACGGAGGTTGGCAATCATCATGGCTATTCTGACCTTCGAAGCAGCTGCTCTAAACAATTGCCTTGAGCTGAAAACAAACTACTGTCTCAGGTTCTTCAACCAGGAAATGCTCTTCTTCCTACGCTTCTCCTACTCTCTATGTTTCCTTGAATCACTGGAAACACTACAGAATTGTACATGAGGAAAATCCAATTTCGCAGTAAGATTTTAGGTCACAACTTGTGCGAAGCCTTGTTACTATTAACAAAAGTAGCACAAAATATGTTAGAGGTCGTTGTTCTAGTTCATCCTTACCATCTACCGCGCGTTTGGATAATGTGGGCCACATGATTGAACGCAATAATGAAAACTGGAGAAGGCGTTGTAGGCTATGTAAAAGTACACCTGTTTTTATGTGTATAAAATGTAATATACCATTGCATTCACATTGTTTCAAAGACAACCACAAGTGAAAATAAAAATATTTGTATGTTATACGTATAGTCCCAATGTTGCGTTAACGCAACGTTAAAAAAAATGGACCTGTAGTTTTTTTTCTTCGTGTAGCTTTTAAATTATCTTAATTTGTGTGTAATTAAATATACATTTAATAAAAATCATTGTTTTTATTATGTTTTCTACAAGTGGGCCTAAATGGGTTAACTTTAAAATATATGTTTGTTGGTGAGGAAATTCAAAGGAAGGGTATCGGTCTAAAAATAAAAACAGAGAATTAGTAAAATTGTAATACACATACAACTGTTTATTGAGACATTATAAATCATCAGTCCTCTCATAATTGATAGATGATACAAATAACAAAATGTCTGAAGCAGGCAAGGGGCTTCGACTAAATTATACCAATAATGAAATACAGTACAGTATGAAATTGCATAAAACGCATCTCAGGAACACATTCAAAGAGCACCACTCGTACCCAAAAAGAATTCATTTTTGTCCAGATGTAATTTTGCGCCCGATTTTAGAAAACTTCTTAAACACGAGGGTCTTCTGCGAATGCTTGGACTCTTTACAGTAGTATGGTTTTGTGTTGTATTAAAATTGCAAAAACGTGTTACTATTTAGGCATTTATGGTACAAATATTGAAAGATTAGCTACTTCACACTAAAATCGAAAAAATAATATAACTGAAAGTTTCTTAGTATTAATGTATCGGAGAGGGACAAAATACCAAAAAAGCTTAAGCAAAAATGGATGTAAAACCAGAATTAAATTAATATAATAATTATCGTCATAAATGATTCTATGATTGCAAATGAAAGTCTTAGCTGTAATCCTCATCGGAGCCTGCGACCGCTTACAAAAAATAAAATACATGACAATATAAAAAAAAGGTGAAATAAGTAGCTCCTATTTTGTCCCGTTGTTACCTACACATTACTATTGCTTTGCTTAATAAAAGAAGATATAAAAAAAGATCAAAATGGGAACTACTTTACTTCAAGCAATATCGCTATTTTAACTTTATTAGTTAACGTTACTAACTGTGCCGGAAAACAGAAGTATATGCTTTGAACTCCATAAATTACTGCTAAAATACAATCATCACAATGCAAAAATGCATTACCAAGAATAAAATATATAATTATATTATACATACAATAAAACTTACTCTGTCCATGAGGAACGATCTTATGATGCAGGAGAGACTAAAATAGATTGCAAATCATTTAATGCCTTCCGATTTATCTGAAAATTTATATTTGTATACGTTTCCTACAAAACCAGCAAGTGCTCGCCGTTTTAATCTGTCCTGCATTTAGCATGAACCGAGTAGAGTCCCTCTATGCCAGTTAGAACAGTCGATTCTCCAAAACAAACAAGGAACAATAGACTGTCGCCAAAGTGCCTCAGTGCCAAACCCATGCTTTTATCAGTTATTAACGAATTCAAACTATATAATAAAAATTAAATAATAAAATTGACATATTAAAGAAAACGAAATGACGCAGTGATGTGACACCTTGGAATACATTAGACCGCTCGTTTTAATTCAGTAGATAAAAAACATTTAAATACGGCGTAAGACGGGGAACAAACCGCTTAGCCGTTTATAATATAAAAATAAGACTATCAACGAATAGGCACATGCGCCCCGAGGTTAATTATAGTAGTCGCCAGAACAGGGGAACGCACTTGGCCCGATAAGTCAAAGATTTTTAGAAAATTTTTAACAACACCCTCGAATCAAAGTCACAAAATTTGGGTTATCTAAATAATAGCTCCGTTCTAAAAATCTCCGACCCCAAAACAACAAACACATAGTAAAACATAATGCCAAGTAACTTAATCAATTTAATTGAATAAATTTTAATTCCAAAACAACAAACGTACAGCAAAAGAATTTTGAAAGTACCAATAACAATTCAAAAATTTTAAAATTAATAAAAAACGAATGCAGAATAGGTAATAATTAACGTAGTATTGGGGACACCATCAGCTATCAGGCTGGCGCGCACTACAAGTGCTTATCAAATCTGCCGCAATATGACTCCTCCTGAATTTTTGTGGCATCTTTTCATCAATAAATAATTTTAAATATATTTTCGAATAAATATAGTACCTAAATAGAATTTTATCATTTCGTTTGGTCTTTAAAAGATATAAATCACATCAATAGTACAACAAACTTTTTTAATTTCAACAAAATCGAACGTTCCATTAAAATTTCAAGTGATATTACTAATAATTTAATAAGAGAGGTATTTTTAAATTTTTAGAGACCAATCTACCTCATGCGAACAAATTTTAATTAGATTTTCAAATCTAAAACTGCGTTCAAACGCTACATCATTTTAAATTTATCGATCACCATCCTCTTTAAACAAAACTCGTTGCCCAAGAATTCATTTGGAGTTATATTCAACACCCTTCTATAGCAGGCACTAGAGGGTGTGCTCTGGCCTTGTTTATCGCCCTCCTTTTTTGACGTAGGGCCACTCACACTCAGTCCCACTGCGGGCGTTTAAGTCCTATCACTTAGCTCCAGGAGCCGTAGGAATCCTGGTACCATGCCTGCTGTTCACCGTTCACGTCCGCCCCCAGCGGCTGTTGTGAAAGGGGCTGGCTCCCCAGTTGCTCTGGTATCGGCGCTTTGTCTCCCCCTGGTTCTGGTGACCCCCGTCAAACTTTCGCTTACCTGCTGAAATATTAAAATAGTTAATACTTTTTTTTCAAAATAAATTTCCGAAATATACAATTGTTTTGAATTGTGTGATCTTGGGATTTGGTGGCCAGTCGGGAACTATAAAAAATAGCTCTACTTGGTTGTAGTGAGTCTGACTTTAGATTTTTGTAGAAGTTCTTCTGGAAGTTGTATAACCAAAAATTAAATACACTGCGCTCCAAAATTAACGCATAATTTTAAAAACCCTGGTAAATTAAATAATTTTAATGTTTCGATTTTTGTGCTAATATATTATCGTTACCCCGGTATATTGTAAAATTTATCGAAAGAACGGTAAAAAACGCTGATGTTTTTATCATTTTTTTGTAAAAAATTAAAAACATGCTAATTGTGCTTCATTTTATTTCGAATTTAGTTGGGTTGGATTTCATTGTGCTGAACGTTTAAAGGGGTTTTTCAAGTTTATTAAGTGTTTTTTCTTTGAAATGAACCACCCGCAGCAAGAAAATCGAAATTTGTCAGAAAGTTACTGTTTTAGAATCGTTACTCTTCGCGAAGAAGGATACACTCAAGTAGAACTCGATGAACGTTTTAACGTCACCCAGTCAACAATTTCAAGAGTGTTAACACGTTTTTCTGTTACTGGAAATAACTCGAGAAGACCCGGTCAAGGCCGTAAAAGGGTTACAACTCCTAATCAAGACCGGTTTTTGACACTTCGTACACTGAGACAAAGGTTTGTTTCCAGTACTTCTCTACAAAATGAATTTTTGGATCGTTATAACTTTAAAATCAGCCAAAATACAATTAGAAGACTTGCTGAAAACGACCTACACCCTGGAAGGGCACCAATTGGCCCATTATTGACCAGAGACCATAGAAGGCAAAGATTGAATTTTGCTCGTGAACATGTTGATTGGAATAATAACGATTGGGGAAGAATATTGTTCACCGATGAATCCAGGTACTACGCACAGTGTAACACCGTAGGGACTGTACAGTAGGCGGCGGCTCGGTAATGGTATGGGGTGGGATTAATTTAGAGGCTCGTACGGAATTAGTTAAAATAAATCACGGTCGGCTTACATCGCAGAGGTATATAACAGACATTTTAGAAGAGCATGTCGTGCCATTTGTACCATTTATTGGGGATAATTTCATGCTTATGCAAGATAATGCCAGGCCACACACGGCAAGAATTGTGCAGCAGTATCGTCAGGAGGTTGGAATTCCTGCCATGGATTGGCCTGCGAGAAGTCCTGACCTTAACCCAATAGAACATGTTTGGGACATCATAGGCAGACGACTACGACAACTACCTAATGCACCAAACACATTAGATGAACTGTTTTTGCGGTTGGTTGAAATTTGGGATCAAATTGATCAAGAAGAAATCAGAACGATTATTCTCAGTATGAGAGATCGTTGTCAAGCAGTAATAAATGTTAGAGGATGCAATACTTGATACTAGTACACGGTAGTAGTATTTTCTTCAACTTTAAAAACTTTTTCTTCATTAATTTATGATGTTAGTTTGTTTAGATCAGTTCGTTTAGATGTTATGATTTATGTTAGGATGTTATATTGTTAATTTCAATACATTTTTTGTAAAAAAAGAATAGTTTTATTTAAGATGTTCTAAAACAACCATAAAGCAGAAAAGAACAAACAAAATTTTTTTCATTACAACTCAAAATAAGAATTTTAAAATTATGCGTTAATTTTGGAGCGCAGTGTATTTTCGAAGTGAAAAAAATTTGGAAATTTCAGAAATCTATCAGAATGAAAAATCAACGTAAAAACAATCTCTAGATTTTAACTTATATTCTAATATTTTCGAAAATGTCATATTTAACACAAAATTTGAATAATATTAATGGAAAATGAAATTTACCTATGAGAAATCGGCTAACTCTAAAATTTCTGAAAATTTAGTATAAGGATGCTGAGACCTAGCTGAGAGGTTTTTAAACAAAAATGCTGATTAGCACTGTTTGTGTAGAATTAACCATTCCTTCAGAAACAACGCTTGAAGCGACCGACGATTTTGAATGTCATTTACGCGTGCCAAACTCTTTAAATACAATTTGTATTAACTCGGAGGTAAAAATTTGTTATCTTTTGATCAGAGTGTCCTATCGACAAAAATCAAAATGTATTTCAAATGTGAGAAAAGCAGGTTTCGTGTGCAATTTTTGAATTTTGTTGTAAATGAAGTAAGTTTTTATAAAGTTTTTAAATAAATAAACGTGCAATTTTTGCCATTTTTTAGGATTCTCACGAGATCAATTTCAATATCGTTTGCGACAAAATGCAAAAATTTCATGCGAAAGCTGCACTCTTCACCTTTAAAACGCGTGTCGATATGACACTAATCAGAAGATATCGACGAATATCGAAATTTTACCGTCGAGTTGATAAAAATTTAATATAACTTTGAAATCGCGCGCGTAACTGATTCTAAAAATCGCCGGTCGCTTCAAGCGTTGTTTGGGAGAGAACGGTTCATTCTACACAAAATGTGATAATAGAAATTTTTGTTCAAACTTACCTGAGCTACATTTTTTACTTAAAAAATTTTTGTCTACGGAGCACGCATTCTTAGTAAATCGATACCCCTACAAGATGGTTTTAGGGGAAAGTTGGGGGTAGGAATGGTAAAATTATTTTTTGTCCTACATAGAGATAGAAGAAGCATTGGATATAAACTCGGACCATTCTCTAATTATTCTCACACTCAGTGACACTGTTATCAAAAGAGAAAGCCTCCCTAGACTCGTTAACAAAAATACTGACTAGAACAGTTTTCAGATAGACCTTGAAGAGAAGATTAACCTCTCAATCCCATTAAGAACCGTTGATCAACTAGAGGCAGAAGTAGAATTACTCAAATATACAACCAGGTGCTTGGAACAACAGCACGAACAGTGTCGAAAGAATAAAAGGAAATAACTACCCGAAATAAATCAGAGAAATGATAACCGAAAAAAGAAAACTGAGAAGCAAGTGGCATCAGTCTAGAGCACCAGCTGATAAAACCAGAATAAATAATGCCACACAAAAATTAAAAAGAGAAATTAAAAACGAATCGGTTTAGCATCTACTTAAGTGAACTGTCAAATGATAGCGCTACTGATTACTCATTGTGAAAGGCTACCAAAAAGGCAAATCTTACAGAATCCACCCATTAGAAATACTAATGGTAGCTGGACAAGAAGCAATACACAAAAGGCCAATACGTTTGCTGACCACCTAAAAAATACTTTTCAACCAAATGAAGAACAAGAAATAATTAACTGGGAGCTCCCTGATCAAGATAAAATGGAGATTAGCAATGAAACTCCAAAAGAAGTATATTTGGAAATAAAAGAAAATATAAATCCAAAGAAAGCTCCTGGATTTGATCTAATTACTGGGGAAGTGTTAAAGTACTTCCAAGGAAAGATATCATAAAATTAACATATCTTATAAACGCTTCCTTTAGGCTAAGGTACGTACCAAAGATATGGAAGGTGGCAGAAATTATAATGACACTAAAACCAGGCAAACCTCCACAAGAAGGTTCTTCATATAGGCCTATTTCACTGTTACCTGTCATGTCTAAATTATACAAAAATTACTCTTGAAGAGACTAAAACCGATTATAGAGGAAAAAATTCTAATTTCTAATCATCAGTTTAGGTTTAGAGCAACACCCACGATAGATTAGGTGCATAGAATAACAGATACAGTACAAAAAGCTCTAAAAGAAGGAAAAGTCAGTTCTGCAATTTTCCTCGATGTAGCGCAGGCTTTTGACAAAGTCTGGCATGACGGATTACATCATAAAATGAGATGCTAACCGAACATAATTGCGACATTTGCAGACGACATTAACATTAACATCTGGACCAGGCGATGGCGTATCAAATTAAATGAAACAAAATCTGTTCATGTCAATTTTACTAACAAAAGAGAACAACATATCGCAGTTAGTATAAATAGAAACCAAATGCCTTATGCAAATACGGCAAAATATTTGGGTATGACATTAGATTCCAAGCTATGTTGGAAAGCATAGATTATGAAAAACATTATGTCTACTTATAACAAATTGTTATTGTATAAGCAAGTCCTTAAACCGATATGAACATATGGGATACAGCTATGGGGATGTACAAAAGAAAGTAACATCCAAAATATACAACGATATCAGAAAAAATTATTAAGGAACATCACTAACGGTCCATGATATTTCAGAAACTGTGGTCTTTCATCGAGACCTCCAGATGGATACGGTTATCCGGACAATAAGAAAGTTTGCCGAGACTCATGAACAAATGCTCTCCAACCATGTGAATGTCGAGGCCATCAAACTCCTAGACAACGACAATCAGAACGAAACCGTTTGAGTTAGTGCTATAAGTGAGTGAAAGTGAAAAAGCAGAGCAAAGTGGGGCTAAAGTGAACACGTTAGCTAGTAGGACTATGTATTAGAGCCTAAGGAATATTGTTGAATGTAACCTTAGATAAGATTTTGGTAATATTTTGTATATAGAACAACTTGCTTATTGATCTTAGTGAATGATCAGATAGCAATAATCATAAGATTCCTGTTGGAATTAATTGCCAAAGTTGATATTCTTTGCCTTGGGAAAATTGGCAAACTCTAAAATGTGTGAAACTTAAGGAAACAAAATTTAAGTTATCTACAAAATATTATAAATTAAAAAGCGATACATTTTCTCTATTTAGGCATATTAACCTAAAAACCCAGTACTCTCTGGAATATTTGAGAATTTTCTGCATGAAAAATTCGGTGTTATATAAATCGCTGTTTTTTACGTATCGAAGAGCAAACAAACTTTCAAACCCATTTTTTTTTTATTAAAATCGGATATTTAGCTGAGCCTGGTGTATTTTTGATGACAATAGGAGTGACATTGTCACACAGAATAAAAATGCAAGTTTACCGGACCACATATTCTCGAACCATAAGTAGAAGCTGCTATCAACAGCATTACTGAGACAAAGGG